AGGTTCAGGAAGACCAGTACCCTGGGCCAATCCTTCTATTCACCATTCCAAATCTCTAGGACAGCTGTACTTTCATTCGGGGCTTTCCTCTCAGGACCCAATCATTCCTCCTAATCCATCCTGAAATCAAATCCAGAGACAAGAGTGACCTCTCACCAAGCTTCCTACCGGCCCTGTGCCTCTTTTCCAATGACACAGCTACTTAGCCCAGGGAAGGCTTCGAACACCAATGGCTTCCTGTTGGTGACCCCCTCCTCACCGTAGGACTGAAGCTCCTGAAGAGAAGAGGTCAGGTGGGATAAAAATCACCAGGAGTCAAATCTCAGGACCTTTCTTAAAACTTTGCCACAAATTTTCTTCCAAAGGAATAATAGACTGATACGGACAGAAGCTCTCAGACATCTAGCATTCATTTTTGATCATCTGGGATAAGATTCAATACTCTTTTCAGACTCATAATAAGCTACTTATAGATAAATTGTAAGATTATTTTCTTTCATCTTCCCTCAATTCAATTTACTGTCCGCACATACATTTCAACATACCATTTATTTGCTTTATTGTGAATTTATTCGCAGCCTATCCCCAGGCCTGCATTGAACATATTTCCTGGAGTGACAACTACTCTATTTGTAGGAACTATTTAGGTCACTGGAGTGGAGGAGGAAAAAAAAAAAAAGAGGTCGCTACTTCATAGAAATGGCAGGAGGCCAGATATAAATGCAGTTAACACCTGTTGAATCTGAAACGCAGAAGATAGTGTTACCATTTCCCCGAACCCTTCAGTTTGTTTCAACTGATAGCAGGTTTAACCGAGAAAAACCAAAGTCTCCTTAACCAAAGAAAGCAAGCTTTTAAGAGGCTGGCTGCTTTCTTTTTCTCTTTTCGGGGGTGGGGAAGGAACGACCACAGCTTAGTTGAAAAGCGATGCATTTCGGTGTCAAAGATCTGTCATCAAATAACACTGCTGAGGACGCCCTGCGCTTGGAAGCGCGGGAGGAGAGCCCGGCGATGGCTTCCGGAGACCCAGGGAACAGCACAAATATTTTGGGCCGGTCGTCAAGGGTGAGCCCGGAGGGAATGACCCACCGAAGAAACGCAAACTGACCAATAGAAACCGGACCCTTCCCCGAGCCGCTCCGCCGGGGGGAGGGCGCACACAGCTCCCTTCCTGAGGCTGGCGCGCAGGGGCCTCGCAATACCTGTGAGTGCATTCATTCATTCATTCATTCATTCATTGCTTCAGCCCAGGAGCCGGGCACTGGGTTAGGGGCCTCTTTTCTCCCTCCACGACTCCATAACCCTTCCCAATCGGCCCACCTCCTGCCCCACTGCCCCCTCCAGACAACTGATTCCAGCCTCGCGGCCCGCGGCTCCGGCCTCTCCTGGGCCCCCAGGCCAAGGTGACAGGATGGCGCCGGCCCGGAGGGCGCCTCCAGCCACAGCCAGAAAGGGGGTGCGGAGCGCGCCGGGGACGGATCTGGGGGACGAGCTCAGCAGGGGCTGTGGAAGCAGCTGCGAGAAGGTTCTGTGAGGAGGCCGCGGGAGGCCGGTGACCCCCGACCCCCCCCCCCACACACGTGACGCGTGCACACCTGAGGAGGACGCGCCCCAGGTGGCGGGGCTCGCGCCGGGCCGCGGCGGCGTTACCTGATGAAGGTGGTCTTGCCGGTGCTGTACTGGCCGACCAGCAGGATCATGGGCTTGTTCTCGAAGTCGGCGTCCTCCAGCGCGGGCGAGTGGAACTCGTGGAAGCGGTACGCCTCCTCCAGAGGCAGCACCTTGCGCAGGTAGAGCGAGCGCAGGCCGCCCGTCACCGTCTGCACGGCGTCCGCGCCGCCCGCGCGCTCGCGCCCGCCCGCCTGCCGCCCCATCCAGCTGAACATCCCTCCGCCGCCGCCGCCGTCCCCCGCTGCGCTGCGCTGCGCTCCGCGACCCCCGCCGCTCCCGGCTGGACCCTCGCCTGCGCGCGCGCGCTCACTAAGCCGCGGCAGCCGCCGCACTCGCCGCCGCCCGAGCCTCGCCCCGCCTCGTGCCGCCGCAGCCAATCACCCGCCGCGACGTCATGGGCGTAGTTTATTATTCAAAAGAGTTCTTACAGGACCTTCCTCATTGGGCCTCTGCCAAAGAGAGGTAGAGGCGTCAGCCAATAGAGAGGAGTTGCTGATGACGTAGATGGTTTGGAAGGCTGGGCGGGTGGGGGGGGGGAAGGGTGTGGCCGCGTCCGGATAGCTCTTGGACGCGTCATCCCGCGGAATCCTCCTCCCTCCATCTGATCGCCTGGGCCTCACCTCTGACCAGGTGGCATCAGCTTCCGGGCAAATCTTAGTTCTCAATGGAGGACCTTCCTCGGGAACCTGTCTGGTCCCCTGGAAGCGTTTGCTCATTCCAAGTTTTCTGCACATCGATACTGGGGTACAGATTCAGAAAGTTGACCGGCAGTTTCCTTCTTCCTCCAGCAGGTTATTTATGATCCCGCATTTCGTTGGGACTTAAAAAAGCACATGCACACGCCGTTACTATGGAAAACAGTGTGTGAGTCCTCTGTAAATTAGAGGGGGGGAGGGAGGGAGAGGGAGCAATTTCACTTCTGGATATATAGTCAGAAGAGTGGGTGGAAGATAGTGTCTTGGAGAGGTATGTGCACAACCATAGGTCCAGAGCTATTTACAAGAGCCAAGAGGTAGAAGTAACTCAAGTGGCCATCAGTAGGTGAGAGGATAAACAAATATGATTATGATTTCAAGACCAAATTCCTTGAAAAGAAATCCACCCTGAGTGAATCTACCCTCATTTGTTTTTTCCTGGTGCTGGTTATTAGGGCTTGAACTCAAGCCTGCATGCTGCCCCTGAGGTTTTTGCTCAAGGCTAGTGCTCTACCACTTGGGCCACAGCTCCACTTCTGGCTTTGGGGTGGTTAATTGGAAACGAGTCTCAGCCAGGCGCCTGTGGCTCATGCCTATAATCCTAGCTACTCAGGAGGCTGAGATCTGAGTCTCTGCATGAACACAGGAGACATCCACATAGGATGCAAGGAAGCTCTTTGGGGGTTCGTCTCTCATTGATTTTGGTCTACAGTGACTAGCATGTGGTGATTATTTGCAAGCTGAGGTAGTTAACAAGTCCAGTGAAGGGGAGGATCTTGGGAATGATCAAGTACCTTAATTAAGGCCTGTGAAGGACTAGTAGCATTTGTCTCCAGGCATCTGAAAATTATCAGACATTGGTGGCCTATGGGAGAAGTGTTTTTCTGGGGAGTGTTTTCTGATGTGATATGCGACAGGTGTTTGGTTGCTCTCGTGTTAATTAGGCTTATAGGCAGAGGACTAAGCTGAGCTGAAGCCTCTGTAACCTCTGCACTACTGCATGTAATCATGGCTGTCAAAGCAAAGACCCTGTTGTTGTTTTGGTAGCTAATTGTGCAATTCATCAAGTATGCATTACAATCTTTCCAGGGGCTGGGAAGGTGGCTCAGTGGCAGAGTGTTTGCCTTGCATGCATGAGGCCCTGGGTTCGATTCCTCAGCACTACAGAAGCAGAAAAAGCCGGAAGTGGCGCTGTGGCTCAAGTGGTAGAGCGCTAGCCTTGAGCTGAAGAGCTAAGGGACAGCGCCCAGGCCAGAGTTCAAGCCCCCACTACTGACCAAAAATAAATAAATACAATAAAAATAAATAAAGTCTTTCCACATTTTCCCCAACCAAAAATCTAAGTTCCACGGAAGAAGAGATTTGTCCAGCCTGCTGTGCATGAGCCAGTGTTCCTTGAATGCCAGCTGCCTTTCCTTCCTCATAGCCTTTAGCTCGAAGCAGCTTGTGCAGACTAGGTTCAACTCCCCTAGTTCATGGCCTGGCTTCCTAAGAGCAGAGGCGGCCCCACCACAAGGGGGAGGACCCAGCCGGAGGAAACTAAGCCAGCTGAGGCGGGAGGGCAGAAGCAGCCCCCTCCTGCTCCAGCCCCAGTGAACAGCGGGCAGGAGGGAGCAGCGGATGGCAGGGGCCAGAGCAGAGACCAGGACGGGAGTTACAGTCACGAGCGTCTTCTAACAGGCCACGAAAGCAGTCAAATCAGCGTTTACCACATGGCTGTTTTATTCGGTGCTCAAGTGACACAGTGACTTTATCAACTTCATTTTTGTGTTCTGATGGGGCCAAGGCCTGGCCACCTTCACCTGACAACTGTCCTTCCAGCACAGGCTCTGTTCCAGTGTGGCTGCTCTCTGCGTAGCAAAGATGTACACAGGCACCCACTTTTACTCAACTTTGAGTGCCTGGGCTAGTCATCTCCCAGCAACCAAAGGACAGTGTAGGGAGCAGGCATCTCATCACCTCTTCGGACGCAGGGCTCTCCCAGCGACTGTCAGGGATCTGAGAATCGCTAAGGAGGAGTTCCTTCTCAAGGGCTGGCCCTGACAAGTCCTTCCTTGGTAGCTTCATTCCAAGTCTTGTTACCAGAGCTGAGCTGTGGCGTTGATTGATAAATAAGAGGAATCATATTTAGAAATAAATAACTCCAAGCCGGGCGCCGGTGGCTCACGCCTGTCATCCTAGCTACTCAGGAGGCTGAGATCTGAGGATCGAGGTTCAAAGGCAGCCCAGGCAGGAAAGTCCGTGAGACTCTTATCTCCAATAAACCACCAGAAAACCAGAAATGGCACTGTAGCTCAAGTGATAGAGTACTAGCCTTGAGCTGAAGAGCTCAGAGACAGAGAGCCCAGGCCTAGAGTTCAAGCCCCATGACTGACAAAAGAAAGAAAGAAAGAAAGAAGGAAGGAAAGAAAGAAAGAAAAGAAAGAAAGAAAGAACGAAAGAAGGAAGGAAGGAAGGAAAGAAAGAAGAAAGGAAGGAAAGAACTCATAGTGCGAGCCCACTGAGAGGTGCCGCTGCAGTAGGTTTCTCAGTGAGCAGTGACATCCCACCCCACCCTACCCTACCCCCCACCAGGTCACCTCCCTGCACCCAGGCCCCTGAATCTGTGAGCCAGAGTTGCAGGTCTGATGTTGCCTAGTGCTTTCCCGATGCTGGGCGCTGAGATCTGAGCCTAAGAACACATTACTTTAAGTAATCTAAGTGCTCCTCAGTCTTCCCGAGTACTCCCCTAGGCTGGCGTGGGAGGAGGGGGGCGCTCAGGGGAGAGCTGGGGGACCTCCACCTCAGGCTCTGAGTCTGAGGTCTCTTTCGCAGTCTGTTTTGCTGGCTGCATTGGAGCTATGGCTGGAGCCTGGGGCCTTCGGGTCCCTCCCCGCAGTGATATGAACCCCACGACAGGCCTGACTCCCCTTTGTCTCACTCCCCTTTGAAATCTGTACCCTGGCCGACCCCATGGGCCTCTACAGGAGGGACAGGCCTTCCTGGAGCCTATGGCGCACACGGGTTCCTCGGGCACTTCTTCCTCTCCACCGCCATCCGGAGGGCCTGCAGGAGTTTGTCTTCGTTATTCAGGATGTTGTATTCCGAGAGTTTCACCAGCTTGTCAAAGGCAGCCTCCGTGTAGGTGAGCTCCTTGGTGGCATATGGAGATTTGGGGCCATAGATGTTAACTTGGCCCAGCTCCAGCTCCTCAGGACTCCGCTCCACGCCTACAGGCAGCAGGAGAGTTGCTGTCAACCCTTAGTACGTGAAGACTGTAAGCATTTGCTTCTCTCGCTCCCCAACTACGTGAACACTTGCCACGTGTGGTGGCACATGCCTGTAATCCCAGCCCTCAGGAGGCTGAGGTATGGAGGATGGAAAGTTCCAGACTAGCCTGGTCTATATAGCAAGTTCCTGTCTAAAAAAATAAAAGACAAGAAAGGAAAGAAAGTGTGCGCGCGAATGCACACTCACAGAGGCACCTGCGCCCCTCTGGGCTCCCCGGCAGGGACAGGGTGTAGGATTTCCCTAGCATCCGACAGCGCTGGACATACAGCTGAGTGTCAGTAAATGTGGTGGAGGGCAGTGGCTTATGCCTATTGCCCCAGCAACTCAGGAGTCAAAGAACAGGAGGATCTCAGTTGGAGGTCAACTCAAGGAAAAAGTGGGAAATTTTCCCAACCAATAAATGCGGGGCGTGGTGACATGCGCTGTAACCCTGCGGAGGCTGGAGGCTCGCGTGGGAGATCTAGGCAAGCCTTGGGCAAAAAATCAGTAAGTCCCAGCCTGAAAAATAAAGCAAAAAAAAAAGGTGGGAGGCACATTACAAGGGGTAGAGCATCTGCCTTAGCAAGCATGAAGCCTTGAGTTCTAATCCTCGGCAGTGCCGAGGAAGGAGGTGGGGGCAGGAAGGGAGGGAGAGAAGGTTTCCCTGAGTTCTAGAGACAAGGGCTCTCAGGCACTGGGCAAGCTGGCCCTGGGCCTAGCAGCTCACCTGGTGCTTTGTACTTTTGGAAGGTGTCGTTGACAAGTGGGAAGAAAGCCACGATGGGGGCCGTGGGATCCTGAGGCTGCTCCAGCACGTAGCACTCCTCTAAGTGTTTGTCGTCGCCTTCCTGGAACTGGTATCTGGGGAAGGGGATGTGCTGCTCTGTGCAGTACTCGCAGGTCTGCTTCAGAGGCTGCGAGAGCACAGGGCGTGTGTGACTGCCGCGCGGAGCATGCTGGGTGCCGCCTCCTGACGCTCCCGGCCAGCACCTCCTGCCCCCCCAACCCACATCCCCCCCCCCCCCCCCCCCCCCCGCCACTTGGCCAGTCTGTGGTCTTTTCTTCGGAGGTTGATTTTAACTTTTTTTGAGGGGGAAGGCGCTGGGGTTCGAACCCAGGGCCTCGCCCTTGCTAGATTCTGGCTCTACCACCGAGCCATGCCTCCAGTGAATTGTGGTTACATTTAGGCAAAAGGCAGGTTAGCACAAACAGCCAGGGCTGAACAGGTGCAATTCCAGCTGTGAGCGCCTTTCCCAAATGCTTGTAGAAGTCCCGCTGAGATGGTGTACATCTGTGCTTCTAGCTATATAGGAGGCAGAGTCAGGAAGATCTCTGATAGAGGCCATCCCTGAACAAAAGCACTATAAGGGCTGGGATTAGCTCAGTGGCAAAGCGCTTGCCTAGCAAGTGCAACATTCTGGGTTTGATCCTCAGTACAAAAAAGAAAAGACAAAAAAAAAAAAAACCCTTTTGCCGGGCGTCAGTGGCTCACGCCTGTAATCTTAGCTACTTAGGAGGCTGAGATCTGAGGATTGCAGTTCAAAGCCAGCCCAGGCAAGTAAAGTCCGTGAGACTCTTATCTCCAATAAAACCACTAGAAAACCAGAAGTGGTGCTGTGGCTTAAGCGGTAGAGCATGCACCTTGAGCTGAAGAGCTCAGGGACAGTGCCCAGGCCCAGAGTTCAAGCCCCACGACTGACAAAAAAAAAAAAAAAGCACTATAAATCCTACCTGAAGAACTCTAATGAAATAAAAGGAGGTATGGTTTAAGTGGTAGAACACCTGCATACCAAGTCTGAGGCTCTGAGTTAAATCCCCAGTATTACAAAAATAATGATGACGACGACAACATTCACACACACACACACACACACACACACACACACACACACACACACACACTGCATTGGAAAAAGCTCAGGACTTAGTGTCAGACGTGTCTTGCTGCCACACCTGTGTGATCACGTGCTGTGTGATTGTAAGCTAATCTCTTATCCATTCTGTCCCTCAGTTTCCTTATCTGTAACATGGGGATGGGGAGAGCCGCAGCTGCGCCATCTCCCTCAGAAGCTGGTGTGAGGACTGCGCCAGGTCATATGGGACAGGACATTGTCATTGATAAATCTAGGCCACTATCACCATCACCCTAATTGTCCATCTATACACCCCCAACTTCAGGACCAGGCTACATCAATGCAGATCAACAAACTGGGCATTAGTGCCTCACACCTATAACCCTAGCCACATAAGGGGCTGAGATCTGAGGACAGCAGTTCAAAGCCAGCCTGGGCAGGAAAGTCCCTGAGACTCTTATCTCTAATTAACCACTAGAAAACCTGGAAGTGGTGCTGTGGCTCAAGTAGCAGAGAGCTGGCCTTGAGCAACCCAGGCTGTGAGTGCAAACCCCACAACCAGGAAAAAAAAGAAAGAAAGAAAACGTAGAGTAACAATAATGTCTTTCTCTAAGACGGGCAGAACTTTTGAAAAGTAAGTAAGAATGGGTAAAAACCTCCAGGCCTGATTCTTTTGGGCCATCGTCCCTGGGGAGAAAGTAGACCGTTATAAGCTATGCAAATGGCACATAGCTTACAACGAACTGCTCTAAGTTAATTTTTAAAAAATTCCTTTTATTTGCATCCAAAGAATAGCCGAATATGGCAAAGGCTCAAAGGCGAGAAGAAAACTGGAATTTGCTAAGAGAGTTTCTGTGAAGCCTGACCCTTGCCCGGCCACACAAGACCTCCCCCCACCCCCCCATCCCATCCCCGTTTCCCCTCTCCCACGCCCTGCCCTGCGCCCCTTCCCCCCCACCCCCCCAGTCAGCCTCGGTACTTGCCTTTGTCTGCGAGCCTGCGCTGTAACCCAGGTGGATGATGAGGTCGACCTTTCTCTCGGGCCGGAGCAGGGGCGCGTAGCTGGAGTTGACGAAGAAGGCCGTGTCCAGCAGACACAGGTGTTTGGAAAACTGTGTCAGCTGGTTTGGGAAGTTGTCCAGCACTGTGTCTGAAAGCCAAGCCTTCCAGTCACCAACCTGCCTAGCGTGCTGCTGCCAGCCAGGGGTTGGAGGCACCTGGTGAGGCACCTGCCTGCCCTGCCTGGCACTTCCTACTGAAGTCTACGCTTCCAGACTACCTCTTTCTGTCCCCCGGGGGTGGGGTGGGGGTCCCCAGCTCTTCTGGGCAGTTCAAATCCCAAGTCTTTCTTTTTTTTTTTTTGGCCAGTCTTGGGGCTTGAACTCAGGGCCTGGGCTCTGTCCCTGAGCCTCTCTGTGCACGAGCCTGGCACTCTACCACTTCAGCCACAGTACCATTTCTGGCCACATTTCCAGCCCCAGATTCCAAGTCTTTCATAGCATGGAAAACCCACTATGATCCAGCCATAAAGCTTGTGACATGGTACAAGATGAAAGCCATCCTATCAATTAGGGTTACCCTGGGTACAGAGCCCCTCTACAATTGGGCATGCTCTTATCGCTGAGACTGGCAGTAGTTGTACTGTCAATAATTAAGTGCGACCAGCGCCCCCTGCTGGCAGCATCTGCACGGTTCAAGATGACACCTGCTGGTAGACCGCCCTGTGAGGGAGCCAGCGAATTATTCTCAATGAACACGGCCAGAGGGGGTCTTCTTCTTTCTATATGGCAGCCTCCCTATCGAATTCTCCCTCCTCCCCCACAGAGCTAGACCTGGAGGAGCCTCCTCGGGGGAGGTACCTTTCCACATGGAGAACTGGCCTTGCTGAAGGTAGTTGGTGTGTAGCTGCAGCCCATTAAGAAAGTTGTGGTACTCAGACACGAAGGGTCGGTGTATGAGGATGTCCCGGAACGTATTGGATAGCCACGAGCTGGGGATCATCACTGTGGTCTCCAGGTTGTTGGTGTCACATTTAGGGACTTCGGGCAGGATCGGTTCATCTGCAGAAGGGAGGGGATAGGGGGTGATCACCCCAGTGGGGGCTCAGCATTGTTAATACAGCCTGTCATGCTGCTGCAGTGAAGATGGATCAGATGGCAGGTAGGGGGCGGAACTGCTCAGTTCCTGATCTACACTTCCCTCGCCCTGATCTACACTTCCCTGAGGGAAGCCAGCGGCTCACCACCAATGTCATGCAGTTTATCTCTCGTCCATCTGTGGAAAAACTCCTCCGAGGTGTGGGACAGATTCCAGGCATCCAGCAGGTTCAGGGAGAAGATACTGCTCCACAGACCTAGCAAGAGGCCACCGTGAGCATCTCTTCCCTGGAGCCTGCGCCCGCCCTGCGCCCTCCCAGATCCGACTGGCCCTGTGGTGACCTCCATCCCTCCTCCAAGGGGGAAAGGCTTCCACTTCTCTTTCCCGGGGGCCAGCTCCACACAGTGGCTGATGGCAGCAGCCCTTGGCTCTTCCCTCCACCCCACAGGGCAGGGAGCAGGGGCAAAGGGATCAAGCCTTGCTGGCGTTTAATGCTGACAAGAGCAGGCTTTGAGTTCAAGTCCAGCTCCATTCCTTGCATCGGTTCTTCTGAAGCGTTTAGAACAGTGCCTGGCCTATGGTAAGTCCTGGGTGCATGAAATGCTTTTGCATACTATTTTTTTCAATGTAGCATGAATAGTAACATTCATGTTAAATTACTCACACTGACTCTAGGAAAAAGCAAGTTTTACTGCTAGGCCACATATGCAGATGTGAAAACTTGGGCGGCCGTATAGCTGAGCCTGTCCTCTGAGGTCCCCTTTGATGGGTGACACTTTGAAGGGTAGAATTAAGGGTGGTTGTCCCCCCCTGTGCTCAGAGGCACCTGAAGAAAAATGTAAGCTAGGCCAGGCCTCCCTGGCGGCTCTGCCCTTGACCTTGGGGTCCCCTCTGGCTCCTTGGGTCCCAGGTACTAAGTCCCCAGGGAAGCTGGCGTGTTGGTGCCTGGCAGCAGTGTGAAAGCTGGAATTTCAGAACATTCCAGCCCGCTTCTGGGCAGACCCCGGAGAGACCACTGGACCCCAGATTGCCGGGCTAGTCTCCTGGGGAGCCCAGTCAGGTCCTTCGGGGCCTCAAGGAGCTGCAGGAATAGGGGAGCAGTCCTGTCCTCTGTGGGTGGAGGCAGGAACCTATGTCCTGCGTTAGTTATGAGGACAAACGCCAGGAAGGTCACGTGTTCAAGGGCAGCCCTGCCCCAGGACCAGGTCCTTCCTGTGGTGACTCTAGTGAGGGGCGGGCCTTCCCTGCATGGAACTGGGCAGCCTGCAGAGTCCCCCAGCCGGAAGTCACCTAGCATGAAGCACATGGGGGACTCGGGGATCCTCTTCCTCAGCCGTCCCATGAAGAACTCGGAGCCGAAGAGCTCCGTGGGGACATAGGCCCCATACTTCTGCAGGCCCACCTCGTAGGGGGTGAACTCGCACCACTCTGCACAGGAAGCAACAGAGACAGCATTGGAGCTACATCCACAGCACCCCCACTTTTCCTTCTCCTCCTCCCCCAATGTTGGGAAGCCTGGAATCTGAAAACTGCGGTTCCCCTGACTGGCCACATGGTGGCGTGCGTGACCGGGCAAAATAGCTCCTGCCAGCTGCTTCACTTTGGGCCTGGAGGCCAGATTAACCAGGACCAAAACTAACACTGAGAAAGGATAAGGTGCTGAGTCCTTCACCCTAAGCAGTTTAGGAAATAAGCCCATCAAATGCACTCTGCAGCCTCACTTATGCAGCAGAAAAAAGTTAATTTTTTTGTTTGGGGGGTTGGTTGTGGGGCTTGAACTCTGGGCCTGGGCACTGTCCCTCAGCTCTTCAGATCAAGGCTAGAGCTCTACTACTTGAGCCACAGGGCTACTTCCGGTTTTCTGGTGCTTAACTGGAGATAAGAGCTTTACAGACTTTGATCCTCAGATCGCAGCCTCCTGAGTAGCTAGGATTACAGGCGTGAGCCACAGGCATGCAGCCAAAGTTGATTTTATTTATCAGCTTTGGGTGATGCTTTTGTATGTGGAGGTTGGCAGTGTGCGTGTGTGTGTTTGGGGGAACAAGGTGCTGGGTATCTGTGCTCATTAAGAAGGGTCCCCTCCACCCATGGATCCCTTCACCAGTGTTACCTCTGAAATCCTGGTTGCTTACATCATCCTTGACATTGATGGTCAGGTAGATGGGCAGGGGGTTCTGGCCCTGGCACAGAGCAGCACGCTGCTGGGACAGTTTGCATTCGTTTTTCTGTGGGGAGATGGGTGGTTAGGAAGCTGACAAGCATCCCCAAGGGCTGAGCCCGGACAGGGTGCAAAGACAGTCCACCTGCAGCCATTCCACGGCTGTGGTCTCCCCTCACCGCCGCCACCCATAGGCATGCGACCCAAGGGGTGCCTGCCAGCTGCCAGCCTGGGCCATGGGTGCGTGGAGCTGGGCCTGCAGGTTAGGGCTGTCCTTTATGGTCCCAGGTTGTCCTTGAATCTTGGGGGCTAGAGAATGATGAGTAAGGGTAGCCTTTGTCCCTCCTGTCTCCCGCTGCTCATAGTCAAGTCTGGCTAAAGCACCTTCAGAGGGCCTGCCAGGCCTTCCCGGAGCGCTCCCCCGGCCTCTCCCTTCTACTAGTCAGACTCACAGCATGCTTGCCTAGGTTCCTCCTCACTTCCCGGCTTGGGCTTTTGGCCTGGCCTTTGAGGGACACACTGCTCCCAACACCGTCCTCCATAGGACGCAGCGGCACGTGCAGGATGTGTTCCGAAGCTCGTGACTCCGGGCCCTGGCGGCTCAGAACCCCAGAGGAGGAGCCGCCTAGCGCGGTGCGCCCCAGAAGAAGCCGGACGCCTACCTTGTCCCCCAGACTGTACTCAATCAGCAGGCCCCAGAAGTCTGTCATGGAGACCTTGTAGCCCTCCTGGCCATGCTGCCGCATCTCCTCCCGAAATTTACAGAGCTGGTCCGGAAACAGGGCGGGCATTTTGTCTTTGACCGAGTGTCTCCGGGCCTCGAAGATAGCAGGCTCTAGGTTTTTGGAGGACCACTCGGGGTCACTGTACAGGGTTGCCATGGTCCTGGAAGAGACACAGCGGAACTGCTGGAGCCGGCTCAGCCCTGGGCTCAGCACGCCAGTCAGGCTGGTGGGTCGTGGAGACTCCTGTACCTGTCGGGATCGAAGCCTGGAGGCTCAAGGGGGGACCCAGGGCTTAGAGGGAAGGAGGCAGAGCCATCACGGTCACTTCTCATCACAACAGCCACGGTGCATGGCAGAACTTTCCAAGCATTGTGAACCACGCGCATGCGTGTGTGTGTGTGGGGGGGGGGGGTCATAGGGCTTGAACTCAGGGCCTGAGCTCTTTTTTTCTCAAGGCGAGCACTCTATCACTCTGAGCCACCACTCCACTTCTGATTTTCTGGTGCTTCATGGAAGATAAGAGTCTCACGGACCTTCCTGCCCGGGCTGGCTTCGAACCACGATCCTCAGATCTCAGCCACCTGAGTCGCTAGGATGACAGGAGGAAGCCATCCGCACCAGGCTGTGAGTCACTTAGACTTAAGGTGGGAGGAGGCAAGATGTCACCAGAGACCCCTCCCTGCCTCCCAGGCCAGGCCTGTCCGCTGCCGTCTTGGGCTCGACCCCACAGGGCTTCCCAGCCCCTTACCAGGTAGCCCCAGACAGGCCGGTGATGTACATGGTGCAGTTCAGGAGGTTCAGTTTCTGAAGCCCCAGCAGGTGGCCGTACATGGCCGTCATGGACCTTGCTCCTCCTCCCGTGGCCATGATGGCGATCATCGGTACCTAGGGGTCACAGAGGGCTCGTGGGCAAGGCCGGTTAGCAGAGGACTTGGCCTGACGTCAGCTTGGAAAGAACAATGAAGGGAGGAGAGCCGGTGAGGGAGGAGAGAAGACAGAGGCGTGGCCAGAAAAGCCCCGCCCCGCCCAGCAGGCTGTGCCACCAGGCTGGTCTAGAATTAGTAGTGCCACACCCATGGTGCTGCCTAACCCAGCTTGGTAAATGCCAGGAAGCAGTGCCCTCCTCGGCCCGGGTGGACACTCGGCGATGTCACCGGGCGCTCGCTCACCTGGAGAAATCAGAGGCTAGGGGGTAGGGGACGCCCGGGCCGGGGAAGAGCTTGGAGTTTGAAGGGTCAGCATGAGGCCGCAGTGGCCCTGAGCCCCCCGCCTGGCTGGCAGCCCTGCTCACGCACCTCATCCTCACGCAGGTCCTCCTCCAGCCGCAGGACCTGCTTCAGCGCCTCGGCCACCACCGGCCTCCGCTTCTGCTGGAACTCCAGCTCCGCGGCGCACAGGCTGAAGCCCAGCCGCACGTCCAGCTTGTCGGGGCTGTGGGAGAGGGGGACCCTCCCTGAGCCCGCCTGTCAGCTCCACCCTTGAGGGGCTGATGGGGCTTCCGGGTGAGAGGGACTCAGGCTTGGAACCCCAGCTCTGCCTTGAATCCCTTCTGGAATTGTGGGGCCCTGCATTCACATCTGGGCCTGAAGGCCCAGGACCGTCTCCAGCGCTGGGATCCACGTGTGGCAGCCGCTGTCACCCGGCTTGTCACGCCGCAGTGTCATTGTCCTAGGAGCTCTGCTGGGACTGCTCTGAGCCATTCTTGGAGCCCCATGTCTCCTCAGAACGGTCTGGAAAGTTCACAAAGCCTTCCGCAAGACAAGGGGCCTGGCCAGAGCTCTATGGTGGGGTGTCTCCTGTTCCTCCCCACACAATACCTTCCGGGGTGCTGGTGCACGCCACAGCATGCCCAGTGCTCACCCTTTTATTTTTATTTTTTTTTTAATTTAACCGCACCCCTGCCCTGGCCCTGGGGTTGGCATCCACGAACTTGACCTGATCACACGAGGCTGACTTCGGAGCCTCCACCCCAGCTTCCCTCCCTCTTTTTTTTTTGCTGGTCGTGAGGCCTGAACTCTGGGTCTGGGCGCTGTCCCTCAGCTCTTCAGCTCAAGGCTATCTCTACCACTTGAGCCACAGCGCCACTTTCACTTTTTCTGCGTACGTGGTGCTGAGGAATCAAACCCAGGGCCTCATGCATGCAAGGCAAGCACTCTACCACTAAGCCACCTTCCCAGTACCCTCCTCTCCCTTTTCCTACCTACACTCCTGCATCCTCAAGCTCTCCCTGCCCTCCTCCACCCCCCAAACAGATCTCAACACTTCCCAGCCCAAGTCTCAGCTCACGAACAAAGTCTGGTCTCCTGGAAGGCCGGGCCAGTACAGGCCCTCCATGTCCAGTGCTGGTCTGCAGACTCAGCTGCTGGGAATAACCGTGTCCATGGCATCCACAGGGAACCAGTACCCAATAATAAGCAGCAACAAGAGCATGTGGCTCACAGGTGGGTGACTGACCGCCACTGCACTGGACAAAACTGAGCCTTAGTGACACTAGAGAACCCGTCGAAGGACAGATAGTAAATCAAAGGAAACACAGAAATCACGGTCACTTGATTTTTGGCAAGAGAACAAAGATGAACAGGGGGAAGAATACTCTGACAAATGCATGCAAAAGAAATGAGGCTGGACCCCCACTTCACACTGTGCTCAAAAGGTAACTAACATGGACACCAGGAGGCTACTGTGTGTAATTCTAGTTACTCAGAGGCTGAGATCTGAGGCTCCTGGGTCAAAGTCAGACTGGACAGAATAGTCTGGGAGACTTATCTCCAGCTAGCATAAAAGCTGGAGGTACAAGTGTGACTCAAGTCATAGAGCTCTAGTCTTGAGCAAAAAAAGCTAAGCCAGAGCTGAGGCCCTGAATTCAGGTCCCAGAATTGTCACACACAGACACACACAGACACAGACACAGACACAGACACACACACATACACACACACACAGAGTAAAAATAGATCCTCTCTAAATGTGAGAGCTAGAGTCGTGCTTACAAGGAAACATGGGAGTAAATAATCACAACTTGGATCCAAGTATGACTTCTTACATATGACATAACATCACAAGTGCCAAAAAAAAAAAACCGATGCCATCCAAAATGACAAACACTTGTTTTCAAAAGGCATCAAGAAAGTAGAAAAGACAACCTATGGAGTAGGAATGCGTGTTTGCATGTCCCCTAGAAGATGAGATGTGTATCCAAAATATACAAAGAACTTTCGCAGCTTAAAAATAACCTCCTGGGCTGGGAATGTGACTCAGTGGTAGAGCGCTTGCCTAGCATGCATGAAGCCCTGGGTTCCATTCCTCAGTTCCACTGGAAGCGTTGCTGTGGCTCAAGTGGTAGAGTGCTAGCCTGGAGCAAGAGAAGCTCAGGGACAGTGCCCAGGCCCTGAGTTCAAGCCCCAGGACTGGCAAAAAAAAAAGACCTCCCGCCTGCAATGCGGACAGAGGATGTGAGTAGACACGCGTGTGCGGTGAAGGTGCACAGCGGTCAGGTGAACCTGGGAAAGGAGTTCACCGCCATTGGCCATCAGGGAAATGACAGCGCGTCCCAACTACCCGAGGGGTGAGTGAGGGGAAGGACAGGCAGAGGGTACTTTACCAGGGTGTGGGCTTCAGGTGTAACTCACAGTTCCCGCCCTGAGGACCAGAAGGCGACATGTCTGTCAGCGACGACGACACAGCGGACCCAAGCCATCCCAACCAAAGAAGTGGCGCTCCCCCCTTCCTCACCCCGACTTGACAGCCCACACGCAGGACCACACACGCATGACCACACACACACACGCATGCGCATGTATGCACAGGCACAGCACCACCCTGCTGCCATCTGGGCGTGGCCCTTTCCCCCTCAGTCAATCCTCACGGGCTCCCACTCTAGCTTGTGTCTCCTGCCCCCCCAGGGCCCTTCTGTCCAGCCCAGAGAGACCCCCATGTGCCACCTTCTCTATGCACCCCTTCGCTTCAACCCCCCCACCGCCCCCCCGCCCCTGCCTCAGGGCCCTCTTCCCCGCCCCAGGCTCTCACCACGGGAAGCGTCACTGTCTCGTTCTCGGAGAGACAATGGAGGGGCTGGCAGACCGGGCTGTGCTTGTGGGCGCAGCAGCAGCAGAGCTGGAAGGATGGGTGGGCTTGGTGAGCGGGGTGAGCGGCTCCCTTGGTAGCCCATCTCCACCCCAGGCCCCTCCTCCTCCCTCCACCCTGGCTGCCTTGTACCCCGCAGTTCCAGTAACTCTTGGGCGGGTCCACGCGCAACTGGGGCTGGAAATACTTGGGGTAGTGGAAGCAGGCAGAGCTGGGGACGCCGCAGGGCGCTGAGCAAGGTGACACGCGCTGGGTGCCCTCGAAGGATTCGTTCACCATCACCAAGAGATCTTTCTCTGAGAGGAGGGGCAAGAGGTGAGGCGGAGAAGTCTCCCATTCTCCACTTGACGCCCCCCCAAAAGCCCATCTGAAGGTGCCAGGAGGGGCATCCCTCCTGACTGTCTAAATTAGGGCAGGGCAGGGCAGGGGGAGGTCCCCCACATCTGCATTTGAACAAGGCTTGTGGGTGATGCCGACAGATGTGTCTCCGGAGAGACATCGGAGAGGCCTCAGGACTGGCTCTGTTTTGCCACAGGAGCCCCCAAAGTCTCCTGCCTGCAGAGAAAGCAGGCCCTCACCATACTGCTGTTTTAGGAGCAGCGGCCTCTTCATCCCTCCCTGCTCCCCAAGTCTGGGGCACCATTTGGTCTTCTGCCGGGCCACGCGGTGGGCCTGGCTGAGCAGGATGGGTAGCGGGTTGTCTAGGTTCTATCCAGCTACAGATAGACACAACTGTTAATAGTGAGGTGACCTAGAGGAAGGGGTACAGCTGGAGGGGCTGAAGGGTGCCAGTGTCCGCTTGTCCCACTTGGCTGCCACCGTAGCAGGGCCCAGGACACTGGCTAGGCCTGGGGATATATATCTAGGCTCGCATGGGTGTCAGGAAGACCGCGTTGTTCTTTATACAACTGGCTAGAGGAGACACAGGGTGTTGTGACCCTCAAGGCTGCGATGACTCTGAGTTTTGGTTCACCTCGTCCCAGTCCAGGAGAGCTTGGCCCAGGCCAAGTGGACCTACTATACCAGGCTCCCTACTTCCCCTGGGAGAAGGTGCTCACTTTTCTTCCTCTTCTGCAGCCTCCTGGTTTGGGCATGAACCTCCAGGCAGGAGACTTGTCGAGACTGTAACAAAGCAAAGTGGGTGGTAAGTGTCCCCGAGGAGCATGAGCCACCCCTCCCTCTTCCGGCCAGGGGGAGGAGAAGAGGACAGCAGCAGAGGATGAATTCAGTGCTGGTTGGCCCTGGGCTCGCTCTGGGTACCCTGGGGTGCTTTCCAACATTTCTGAGCCCAATCAGGGCCTGCCGACTCACGCAAAGGCAGGCATTGGAAAACGAAGCTGTCCTGTAAATTCAGCTTCCGGGGGGTGGAGGGGGTGTTATGTCCTCAGGGTCGCCAGGACCCGACCCCAAGCAGTGGTCAGTGCTTTGCAACAAAGTGCTTTGAATGGCATTGTCTTTGTGAGGAGCAGAGACGGGCCAAATGCCTGAAGTCCTTGCACTTTTTGAAGGAATGGTCTCTTTGAACCCTGGGGCACTGAGACATTGAATTAAAATATTCATAGCAACAACTGAATTAGGAATGAGTTCGTTTTTGCAGGGTCATACTGGAGTTTGAATTGAACCCCACATTTGAGGCAGGTAGTCTACTGTTTCAGTCCCTAGGCTTTTTGCATGGTTTTTTTCTTATGTTTTAGCCGATGACTGGCCTGGACAGTGATCCTCCCATTGATAACTCACCAGGACCTGGCAAGAACAGGATGCGCCAGCACATCCAATTTAACGGCTGAGATTGGGGGGCGGGAGGGGGGGTTGTCTCTTGATATTTTTGATTTGGCTGGCCTCAAACCAAGATTTCCTGATTTCTCTGCCTCCCAAGTAGCTGGGATTATAGGCATGAAGTACTGTGCTTATCCCTGAATTATGAAATAATTGGAATATTGCGATTGCGCCTATAGAGGTGTGGGGGTTGTGGCGGACAGAATCGAGACCGAGTCTGGAGCAAGGCTGCCTTTCGTGGGTTCTTGTATTGCCAGGGAGATCTCCAAGAGGAGGGGGACATTCTTCTAGGGTGTGGGGTTCTAAGACGATGCCTGGTTATGTTCTTCCACCTGGAGCTGCTGTCACCACCTGCCCTGTACCCCATTTTGTGAACCATTTAGCCTGACTGCATCTGGGCTGAGCCTGACTGCATCTGGGCTGAGCATGGGGCAAGGTGCCAAGCTTGGTCCTCTCTCCTGACAGCGGCAGCCAGATGAGGCCTCTGGAACTCCAGGAACCCAGAAGGACAATTACCACCAGCACGCCGTTGGTGATGAGGGTCTCAGGGGGGCAGGGACTGAAAAACAAAATGAGAAATCCTGGTCAGTTCCTCTATTCTTGTCATACTTCTCATGAAGGTGACAATATAAACAGGATGAGTCATAAATAACACAGCCCTTTGATTCTTAAGAAATTAAAGCTGGGCACCAGTGGCTCACTCAGGAGGCTGAGATCTAAGGATCAAAGTTCAAAGCCAGCCTGGGCAGGAAAGTCCATGAGATTCTTATCTCTAATGAACCACCAGAAAACCAGAAGTGGCCCTGTGGCTCAAGTGATAGAGTGCTTGCTTTGAGTTGAAGAGCTGAGGGACAGCGCCCAGGACTGGAGTTCAAGCCCCATGCCCGACAAAATAAATAAATAAATATAAATAAAATTTAAAAACTATGCTTGCTTAACACTAGAAGGAAGAAAAGAACAAGTTCAAATCAAGATGACTATCTCCTCAGTCTACTGTTACTATCAACTTTGGCATATTTCGTGTCATAAGCCAAGGAATTCTGCCTCCAAAAGGCCTGTCCAACTGAGAAATGAAGAAGAGGTCCTCGATTTTATATAACGTGAAGTTAATTTTAGTTTGCCAATCAGCGGTTAATAAGGAATAAGTTTCTGAAATAAAGTGTCCCAAGATCCCTTAGGCAAGGACTCAGAGAGCTGAGAATGTGGCTTCATGGTAAAGTGCTTGCCTGGCATGCATGAAGCCCTGGGTCTATTCCTCAGTACCACACACACAGGAAAAGCCAGAAGTGGCTCAGGTGGTAGGGTGCTAGCCTTGAGCACGGGCAGATTCAGGGACAGAGCCCAGGCCCTGACTTCAAGCCCCAGGACTGGCAAAAAACCAAACAAAACAAAGGACTCGGAGGGGGTGTCTTCTGCTGATCCCAAGTCGGGAGGGTTGCAGGTGATGGAGAGAAGGGGAAGACAGATGCCCCGTTACAAAGAGCAAGCCCCCTAGAGAGTCCAGGCAGAGTGAGTGCCAGAAGCCAGATAGGGAGCGGAGAGGCTGGCAAAGAAAGAGAGCGGCAGCTCTGAACATCACTTGCAGGTCAGGGCCTCTGCCATTTCCAGGGGGCCCACTCACCTCTCGGCCAGCAGGAACTCCACCTCCAGCTCTTCCATGCCCTGGCAGGAGAGGAAGGGCGGGGGCTGTGAGCTGCATCTTCATCTCTCTCTGCAGTCTCTGCTCTGGGGACCTGCCTGCATACCCCACCCTCAGCCTGCCGCCTCCTCTCCCTCGCTCTCTCCCCAAGTCTCTGGCCTAAGGGAAGGGGGTGGTATTCAGGGTGTAGAGATGAGCCACCATGGGCCTTCCTCTGCTTCCAGGGGCCTCTTTTGCAGGTTTATCCCCAGCCTCCCCTGCTTCCCCATTCTCCAGGCCTCAGTGGAAGCTGAGACGTTTGCTCCCTGAGGGGGATTTGCTGGATGCTCGAATGCAAGACACGCTGGCCCATTCCAGTTCTGACCTCCCGTGACTTGCAGATCTTCCCTCTCGTCCCCTCCCCGGCCTCTGTGCCTGTGGATTTTCTACAGACATCTTCATTTGTGCCACCATTGCTGATCGCTGGCCGCCCCTAGTACATGTTCCTAAGCCTCGCAGCCCCCCTGTGCGAAGGTATGATTATTATCGTGGCTTTACAGGAGAATGAGGAAAGCCGGGTTCTTTTCACCGTCACACAGCTAGGAAGCGCTAGTGCTTGTCTGTGCCTGGGCAAATGGCATCATGGGAATACACGCTGTGTCCTCATGCAGCAGGAGGCTGTGTCTGGCCTGGGTACCCACCTCTGGGTTAAGGGGGAACTTCACATGGGTTTTCTTCCTGTAGCAGAGCTTGGCGAGGTCATAGAGAACTGTCAAGAGATGGTCGTCTGGGGTCATGCTGTCATCATCACAGACGCTCAGCTCCAGCACATTCTGGCGTGTGTGCGTGGGGAGGGGGGGGGGGGACAGAGGGGGTAAGTCTGGTTGTCATGGTTGCATCCACCCACGGAGAAGCAGGCAGGGCAGGCAGGTGCCATCCCCGCGTCTTACCTTCACTTGGGTCTGGATCTGGAAGCTGAAGCTTTCATTCCACTCCGGGTTTGGGCAGTTGGAGATGGTTCTGGTCCTCCGCTTCTCCCGAGAGGCCGTGGGCAGCCAGAGGCTCACGAAGCAGTCTGGCTGGCTCACTGTCCAAGAAAGACCAGGGGGGGATGGGATGGGAGCAGAATCAACTTGAGGGCAGAGAGGCTCCAACGGGAGCCCCGGGGGGGGGCTCCTCTCAGCAGCACCCCCACCCCCAGCCAGGCCTCTACCTGCCCAGAGACTTTGGTCCTTGAACCATAAGGTAAGAGGGAATGGCAGGGCCCACCGAGCATTCCCACAAACACAGGTGGCCCAAGGCAGAAGTAGCCCACTCTTGGAGCAGACACCTGCTGGTTTGGGACAAGGTATGGCCCCACAAGCCCTCTCTGCTGGCCAGATATGGAAGGTCCAGTTGACCTCCTCCTGCCTTAGTGCCAGGGAAACCAAATTAGAGGCAAGCTCTTCTGAGGAGACACGAGGAGGAGGAAGGGAAAGTCTGTTGTGAGTGGGCTGCGAAAAGCTCAGAAGGAGGCTGCTCCCCATGGCTATTAGTCTCCCGAATGAGGTGCGGCCAAGCCCGGTGAACAACCCAAGGGTAATGTTGCCCTACCTGCCCTGGAGAAGGGTCAGAGGCTCTCACCCCATCAGGCCTTTCCAAATGGGAAAAAGGTCTCCCCAACCTTCTGGTTGGAGTGGAAGGGGCAAGGCAAAGAGCATCCGGCCCCACCTGGCTTCCCTGGTGCATTTCGCCTGGGAGGAGGGAGGGAGAGGGAGCTTTGTCCCTGTGCTGGAGATGTGCGGGGCAGGTCCCCAGGCAAACATCGTACACATGTGGACTTCAGTGGAAGCCAGGCAGCTTCAGAAGCCTTCTAGAAGGTAAAGCTAGTCAGGATGGGAGTTCTATACTACAGAACGGAGTCAACTATTTCACAATGGGTGTTAATAATCACAGACGAACAAGAAACCAGGAACTGAGGCCGTCCTGCGTCATCCACCCTCTACCAAAAGCTTTATCAGTGCCGGTAACCATGTTTTGCATACAGGCGTTCCTGACTTCTGATTTCACTCCTGACACCTGCTTATACAGCTCCCCCTTCATGCATAAGAACTCATGGCCCTCCTCCCTTTGGATACAGGTGAGGTGGCACCTGCCTGTAGTCCCAGTGCTTGGGTGACTGAGGCAGGAAGAGGGAGATTCAAGGCTCATGAGAGTGAATGAGACCTTGCTCCAAAAAAACTCACGAAATGGAAAACCCACAAAGGTAAGATGATGCTGTCCTTTCGATGAGTAATAGTGATTTAACCCCAGCAGAAAGAATGACCAGACTCAGACAGAACCGGAAGGACACGATGACGTCATTGCCCCCCAGCCCCCTCCCCCTGGGCCCGACCTGTTCCTCTTGCCATCCACTTGGGTTGGGTGTCCTGGCCAGAAGCCCAGTGTCCTCTTTGACTCGCGTTGAACCCATTGAGCTCTTCCCACCTCTCACTCTGCCTGCCTTCCCCCGCCTCTGCCCTAAGCGGGGAGCCCCAATGCTCATGATCACACACACACACACACACACACACACACACAGAGGCTCCAGATGCCAAACTCAGTCCCTTTCCAACTCCCAAAGGTGCCATGACATCTCCCTTGCAGGCCTCTGTGGGTGCTGCTCCTTCTGCCCACACCCGTCCGCCTCTTCTCCTGTCTCTTCTGGGAGCCGTCCTGAGCACCAGGGGCCTCTGTCCCAGAGCACGCAGCTCCTCTCATGGCAGAGTACGTGCTACCCACATCTCTGTCACACCGTGAACAACCCGACTCCATGGCAGGGGAGTCTGAGGGGGTCTAGGTCCGGCAACAGACCAGGCACTCTCTTGTGAATAAATGAATGAACGAAAAGCTCAGCTTCCTGCTATGGTGCTGCATCAGAACCCCGGAAATCCTCGGGCTGAGTCACTGCAGATCTAGGTAAGCAGCTCATCACGCCCCATTGTTCTGCACAAAGACAGACGCACCCGGGACCTGCTCAGCCTTCTTGGCCCCCTCCCTGGGCTTTTTCTGGACACCAGCCCTTCCTCCGGGCCGGGAATGTACCTTCCCCAGGCCTGTCCCCTCGGTGGGAGCTTGCCGGTGGGGACAGACCAACTCTTCACCTGCTGGCTCTGTACAGCCTACTTAGTCTGGATGACATGAAGCGCCTGGTAAGGCCTTTGTCCCTCTCAGGTTACTTTCCCGTCACCAATCTATGCGTCAACTTTCCCCACTGAGCTCTTGAAGGAATATCTCAGGACGTGGGGCTGCAAAGTTTATATCGCCAGTTGAGAGAAGATACTTCTGAAAGAAACGCACATTCCAGCCATGAATTTTTCAGGCTTTTTTTTTTGTCTTTTTAATTTGTGAGACTGGTATTTGAGTTCAAATACCAGCTCAGCTCTACCATGCCCCCAGTGTGGCTTTTTGCTGGAGATGTAGTCTTGTGGACTTTTCTGCCTGGGGTTGGCTTCAAATCTTAATCCTCTGGCTCTTAGCCTCCTGAGTATGTGGTATTACAGGTGTGAGCCACCTGTACCAGGCTATTTTTTTTTTTTAAATTATTCCTTTGCAGAAATCTTTCCCATCCCAAATACAGCCCAGGCTGGGAGTTCTAAGAGGGGGGACCTGGGGAAGGGAGGATGAGGGAAGATGGCCAGCACCCAGATGACAATCTGGAGGAAACTCCATTAGCTGTGCACAAGGAGAGCGTCAGTCTCATTGGCCGTACGGAATGACAATGCTTGTGTGCCAATCTGAGATTGCAGGGCCAGGAGGGTATTTCCTAGTCACAGACAGGTTCTAATTCTTGTTTCTTGTAGACTGACAGAGTGCTTGGTCATATGACACAACTCTTTCCTGTACTGTGGGTGGCAGACAGGACTCAATTATCTTCACGGATCAGAACATTCTCTGCCCTCCTGCTTCCCCTGGGCTGCTGATGTAAGGATCTTTGTTTTTTGCTAGTCATGGGGCTTGAACTCAGGGCCTGGCCACTTCCCCTGAGCTTCTTTTGCTCAAGGCTAGCACTCTACCACTTGAGCCACAGCGCCACTTCCAGCTTTTTCTGTGTATGTGGTACTGAGGAATCGAACCCAGGGCTTCATGCATGCGAGGCAAGCACTCTACCACTAAGCCACCTTCCTAGCCCCTTCTGATGTAGGTTATAATTTGCTTTCTCAAGAGGAATCCAAGTCTTGATGGCTGGGAGGTTTCTGGTCTGATGGTCTCCCTGCCCTGACCCTGGCCTGGGCCAGTGTTCTCTTTGCTCTGGGAGAGGGTGTCACCCCTGAACTTCTGAAAACTCATTGTTGTTAGCTTTTCCAAAATCTATTTATTTATTTATATTTAATTTTTTGTCGGTTGTGGGTCTTGAACTCTGGGTCTGGGCGCTGTCCCTCAGCTCTTCAGGTCAAGGCTAGTGCTTTACCACTTGAGCCACCGCACCACTTCCAATTTTATTGGAAATAAGAGTCTCATGGTCTTTCCTGCCTGGGCTGGCTTTGAACCACAATCCTCAGATCTCAGCCTCCTGAGTAGTTAGGATGACAGGCGTGAGCCACTGACACCTGGCACCCTTTCCAAAATCTTAAATTAAAAAAAAAAAAGCGCAGGTCTGAGGCCTAAACTTGGGGAGCTATTTATTTGATTCCATCTAGGAGGGGCGACCATTTCAAGCATGATTGACTCAGGCATCTTATCTCTAATGTACCAGGGAAGACAGCAACATGGCCCAGCCCATGACAATAGTGGGGTTCAGGCCCGATGTGACTCGGGCTGCCCCCTCCAATGCCGTATGGGCCCTGGGGTTACCTGGGAGAAGTAAGCAAAGCATAAACAACAAGGGGTTCCCAAAGAGAACGCTAGAAACAGCCTGTATCGCAGAGGGGCATGCGGGGAAGGTAGAGAGGAGACTGGTAGAGCCAGGCACCACCCATCAGACACTGGGGGACAGGCGTGGCAGGGAGGAGAGGGAGGACAGGACCCCAGTGGGTGAGAAGACACAGGTACAGGCATGCAGAGGCAGCGTACAACCGGAGTGACTCGAGCAGCTGGGACAGACACACCTCAGGAGGGCCCGGAGGAACGAGTGTGGGAACCCGGCTTGCTCCTAGGGGGAGGGGTGACCTCTATCCAACAGGGAGCAAAGTGAGGGACCCACTGTGTTGTGGGCAGAGAAGGCAAGCTGACCACAGTCCTGCCCAGGGAGCTGGCGCTTGAGATCACTCACAGGTGGGTTAGGAAAGCCCCAAGGAGCTGGAGAGGGCAGGCCCTGGCCATCTGTGTGGCAGTCGGTGGCCTAAGCTTGCTGGAGACTGCTCTGGCTGGCCTGGGCCCTGGACCCCTCACCCTTCAGAGGCTCAGTTTGAAGCCTGCTTGGTCCCTGTCGCTTGGAAGCCATTGTATCCCGCTCCTGTGTGGTTTCTAGATGGTTATTCACCATCTAGGCCCGGCCTCCTTCCCCTGATCTGTCCCAGACGTGGGATCAAACATTACAGGCACCATTGGCAATCAATCATTAACCTCTCACCTACAAAGTCGCTATCCCTTCAGGTAGTTTGGGGATCAAACCCCTGACCCACCATAGCCGCTCCCAGACCAGGCTCCCAGTCTCTGGACACTTAAATCCTGTGGCCCTCAGAACTCAGACACTCCTGTACCTTTCTTGTCCCTCCAAGCTTTAAGTTCTGGAGTGACAGGACAGCAATGATCTCTTCTACAGCTGTTCTGGGCCTGGACGTCCTCCCTGGCTGGCTTTCCATATCCCCTCAGGCCCACCTTCGCCTCGAGGGAGTCCTGTGGATCTTAAGCACTCCCGTGTGGTCACTAGTGAGGAGCAATGTCCCCACAGCCGCCGTCCTGGGACCCAGAGATGCCTCTCCCTGGGGGAGCCAGGCTGCCTCTCGGGAGGGCCGCATGGGGAGCGGCTGATCTCTGGAGGCCATCTCAAAGGCAAGGTCTGGGACACATCCTGTCATCTGATGCCTTTGCTTTTTGTTTTTGTTTTTCCTGACACAGAGCCTCTCTGATTTCCGAGGCTTCAGACTTCAGCAGGAGGGCAAAGATACACTGGGAGAAGACGGTCCCCCACGTCCTACCTCATCAGGGGTGCCAGGCCGAAGAACTGGGGCCGTGGGCTCTGGCATGGCCTCTAGTGCCTGATTTGAGCTCCGTGTGAAGGAGCTCTGGAAAGGGCCAGCAACTGGTCCCCTTTCTTCACCCCAACGTCCCCTAAACTCACGCAAGAGCAAGGAATGCGGGAAGCTGGTGTTACTGTTGAAAATGGACACTGAAAGGAGGAGAAAGTGGGAAGGAGAGAGTGGGGGAGGGGACAGTGCAGAGGAGAGGGGAGAGGAGGGGAGAGGCGTGAGAAGGGGAGAGTGAGGAGCAGGAGATGGGGGATGCAGTGTGGGGAGAGGATGGGGGAGACAGTGGAGGGAAGAGATACAGGTTTATACTGCAGGCTTCCTAGGGCTGGGGTGCCTCTTGCAGTGGGGGGTTTGGAGCCCGCCATCGGTGGCTCACGCCTGTAATCGTACCTACTCAGGAGGCTGAGATCTGAGGATCACAGTTCAAAGCCAGCCCAGGCAGGAAAGTCCGTGAGACTCTTATTTCCAATAAACCACCAGAAAACTCGAGCTGTGGCTCGAGTGGTGGAGTGTTCACCTTAAGCTGAGGAGCGCAGGGACAGCGTCCATGCCCAGAGTTCAAGTCCCATGACCGATTAAAAAAAGAAAAAGGAGGAGTTTGGGAGGACATAAACCACAAAGTATGCAATGCAACCAGAGAATATACATATGTGTCTACACACACACACGCACGCACGCACACACACACACACACACACACACACACACACACACACACACACACACACAGAGGACCATTCCTCCAGCCAGGGCCTCCACCCAGACCCCCAAGCTGACAAGGAAGGAAGGCAAGGGGAAAGCGACTCACCTATGTCAGCCTGCCGGACGTTTTTCATCCTGATGACCCTCACTGTCAACTCGTGGCACGGAGATCGGCCCTCCTGAGGGTGGAGAGGACAGTGAGCTCACTCAGGGCCCACCGAGGCCAGTCCCCGGGGGACACCTTCCCACCCCGCAGGCCTCCCTGCCATTCACGGTGCGGCCGCCTGCAGGCCATGCAACCCCTGTTTGCTCCAGTATCTGCCTTTCCACCTGCCTGGTGGGTTCTGGAAGGTTCTGTAGGAGATGAAGACCACGTCTGATTTTACACCTTCCAACCTTCACCACCTGAAGTATGCTTAGATACAGAAAGCGCAAAGGGGGTTCTGAGCGGAGGGGGGGGTGCCTCTCCCTCATTGCAAACCTTCTTATTCCCACCCCACACAGAGAAGATAATTCCCCTCGTCCACTTAAGATGGCGGCTTGCTCAAGAGACAATTGGAGTGTGTGTATTAGGAGGGACAGACACCCGTCAAGCTTGGACACTTGCTCACGGGGACCCTCGGGCTCACCCCCCCCCCCACGCTTCGCTTCCGTCCACAGCCTTTCCACCCCCCTCACCCCGTGCCCCTCGGGCCCCTTCCCCAGAGCCTTCCCGGTCGCCAATCCGCCTCCTGCCTCTTTGTTGTTTTGCTCTTGGTATTTGTGAAGTCTTGGCTAGCATGCAGCAACCTCTTTTCGTGATGGCAGAAGCTCAGGTAATCCTTGCTTTGATGGCTGAGGCCTGCTGGAGGCGTCTGTGTAGCTGTCGCTAACCCCAGGGGGCTGGAGCTCAGCCTGTGCCTCTCCCGCGACGCTTTGACCTCATGGCTGGGAGTGACACCCCGAGCCCGGCTCTGCTGGTGCGGATGGTGCTGTCCTGCTCCTCTGCTTTCCCTCTTCACTTCCTGGGAGCCGGCCAGCATGGCAGGCCCCGCCCTCCCCAGGAGGACAAGCTGGCCACAGGCTCCTCTGCCTGATTCTGAAATCTCCCCACGGTCCAGCGTGGGTCTGGATTCGGATAGACTCTCCTAGTCCCCTGAGTACCCTTTAGTCCTTCCAGACTTTTCTGGGGCTTCAATAGAACGATGGCCCTGGGAAAGTTAAGTTTTCAGTCCTTGAGCTAAAGACCTGAAATCTCAAGGTCTCTTCTTCTCCTCTCCCCCCAACGGCGGCCTCAAAACCACAGCAAGAGGTGACCGCACAGTCCTGTGCCTTCTGTGAGGTCAGCTACGGAATCGTGAGCACTTTCCTGGGCACTGTCTCCTGGCATAGAGGGTGGCGGCGTGGCCTGGTGGGGAGGCAGGAAGCACCTTTAGCCTGAACACAGTTCCAACGGTTCAAGTCCCGCTGCCCACCTCACAGCACCCAAGGCCGGGCCAAGGCCTCACCAGAGGCAGAGGTCTGTCGTCGGGGATCTGTCCGCGCTTTGCAGGTCTCTGATCCCAGGGCCCCAGGACTCTCACAGCCATCACAGCCGTTCTCCTGCGTCTAGGAGCGGCTGCCTACAGCCCAGCTCCCCAGCGTCTGCTTTGAGAGGGAAGAAACATCCACCGGTTCCTCAAAACCTCACCAACGGACTTCTGCTTTCCAGAAACATCCTCTCCTGTCATCCAAACCTAATGCCTGCCGAGGTCCACCATCTCTCCCTAGTCGATGCGATGGGGCAACATCAGTGAGCGTCTGTGGAGGGTCTATTGCCGTGCATCTGTGCACAGCTTCCCCGCAGAGGATCTGGCTTGCTCCTTACCCTCACCCACAAAGACACCCTCAGTAGCCTCGATGTTCAGGTGGAGAAGCTGAGACTAAGTCCTGGACTCGGGGCTCTCAACTAGAAGCAAAGAGAATGTGACTCCAACTCTCAAACCTGCGTGTCACCACTGGGCACCTAACTTGAAGTGACCCTTGGCAAAGATGAAGACAGGCTGCCCTCACCGCCTCTACCTTCGTTGTCTTCTCCTACAACCAGCTTTCCTCCTTTTCATTTGAATTCTCTCGATGCCCCCCCCCCCAATAACCCCAGAACATCTACTGGCCATGCTTCTACTAACTATATTTATTTTCATTTCTGGTGCTACTGGATTTTGAACTCAAGACTTTGTGCTTGCTAGGCGGGTCCTCTACCACTTGAGCCATGTACCTAGTCCTTTTGTGATTTGGTTGTTCTTCAGACACCCCCCCTGCCTTCACCACCCAAGGATTGGTCTCAAACCACGATCCTCCCAATCTCTTTCCTGAGTAGCTGGGATTACACGTGTAAGCCACACCATGCCAGGCCCGCTAGCAACATTTCTTTCTTTTTTTTGGGGGGGGGTCCGGTTGTGGGGCCTCAACTTTGGGCCTGGGCGCTGTCCCTCAGCTCTTCAGCTCAAGGCTAGCGCTCTACCACAGTGCCACTTCTGGCTTTTTTCTTTTTGCTTATGTGGTGCTGAGGAATCGAACCCAGGGCCTCATGCATGCAAGGCAAGCGCTCTACCACTGAGCCACCTTCCCAGCCCGCAACATTTCTTTCCACGATCGCTTTGTGAGCATCACAGCCACTGGGGCCTTGGAGAAGTTCCTATTTACTAGTTTCTCCAGAGGGTTCCCTGCTGGTCTATTTTGAGCCTCAGACCTCACTTTCTACCTTCTACCTCGGGAATTTTCAGGAGAGACCCAAGTTTGGCTGACAGAGAGACACAGTCTGAAAGGGATCTGAGAGACACAGCAGGGTGTCCATATCCAGAATCACAGGAACCCGCCATGAGGGGCATTGCTTTCCTGGGAAGGATTGGAGGCGTTTTGCTCCTGATGTAAGAGCTTAACTCCTATGAAAGTGCTGCTGCTGGAGATTACCAAAACTTCATGGCGCAGAGTTAATAGATACAATAAAAAGAGACAGCACAGGTCTATGATTATATGGATAGGAACCAGAAACCGGTGAGATTGTAGAATCCAAGTCAGTGTTTGAAATCCAAAGTTCAGGGAGCCAGGCACCTGTGGCTCACACTTGTAATCCTAGCTACTCAGGAAGCTGAGATCTGAGGATCACAGTTCAAAGCCAGCCTGTGCAGGAAAAGTCCATGAGACACTTATCTCCAATTAACCACCAAAACCCAGAAGTGGCTCTGTGGCTCCGAGTGGTAGAGTGCTAGCACGCAGGTTGGAGAGTCCAGTGCTGTTTCTGCCCACCCTTAATTTTATAGGATGACTTTTGGAGGATGTGGCAAACCAAGTTTATGATCTGGCGTGCTGGTCCCTGCAGCGGGTGCATCCCGTAGGCTCGTATCTGAGCCTCAGCCAGCCTGGGAGGAAGACAGCCCGGCTCCTCCCAGAGGAACGCACGCAGGCTGGGGAGATGGTGTCTCCTACAGACTCCCACACCTGGAAGCTACAGAGCCAGATCCACATCCCCGCCTTCCCATTCACCTGGAAACCAACCTCACCACAGACAACGACTCAGAATGAGAGCCTGCTCCAAGCCACTACACCAGACTGGTTAGTGGCAGAGCTAGCTCCCAAGCCTGGTTCTCCCTAGGCCCAAGGGTCCAGTTGTTGCCATAAATCAGCCCAAAGAATGTTAGGTTACAGATGGGTTTCCCGGGTCTGACCAGGTTTCAGAAGTGCTGGATCTCAGGGTCATACACAGAACGCATCCCCTCCCCAAACAATCCCACCAGGCCTGGACATCGTAAGACAGTTCCCTTCCCTGGGCATCTCAGGACAGGCTCAGTGAGGCTTCTCCTCACTCCAGAGCTGGGTGTAGCCATCGGGGTCCCTGCAGCACTGGATCAGAGCTCAGATCAGCCCCCCCTAAAGGCAACTATAGGGAAGGGAATATTTGGGACCCCAACACAGGTCTCAGCCAGTCGAAGCAATATCCCAGACTACAGATCACACCCACGAGGGGCCTGTTGTGGCTGCCTTCCTTCCTTCTTGTCATCCACATGGGGTGGGGAGGTATGGCAGGGATTCCTTTTTTTTTGGGTCCGGTCGTGGGCCTGAACTCTGGGCCTGGGCGCTGTCCCTCAGCTCTTCAGCTCAAGGCTAGCGCTCTACCACTTGAGCCACAGCGCCACTTCTGGCTTTTTTCTTTTTGCTTCTGTGGTGCTGAGGAATGGAAGCCAGGGCCTCAGGCATGCAAGGCAAGCGCTCTACCACTGAGCCACCTTTCCAGCCCTGGCAGGGATTCCTAATACTGAGTTCAGATGCTCCGGAGCCTGAGAGGCACAAGCAGCTTGGCTAGGAGGAGCCTTGGGGGCCACACTCTGAGCCCTCGGGTCTCAGCTGCTCTGCCCACCCCCCCATTGGCACTTCTGTCCTAGCTCCAGATTCTGCAAGTTCTACCAGGCTGGATAGGCAAGAGGAACAAGTGCCAACCGGTGGAGGCCTGTGGGTCAGCCGGGAGGCAGTGTGTGTCCGGACCAGGGCTGAGAGCCACTGGTCACGTGCAGTGGAGAGCACCCTCGGCCCCCCCCCGTGGAGATTCACCAGGGTCTCTATCTCCCCCTCTAAAGCGATGAGACACCCCGCAGGGCTTCACCGGCTCCCGCAGCAGTTTGGTGAGGACAGGGCAGGGGCGGCAGGAAGGTAATGCGGAGGAAGTTGCTGCCCCGGAGGAGCTAGCTGACAATCCTCCCCGTGGCGCATCTATGCCCAGACAGGTGCCCTGGCAGATCCACAACCCAGCGGGTCTCCCTGTGAGGCTGGGAGGGATTGGTTGGATCCAAGAGCCTCCACCACCAACCTGGGGGCACAGCTTTGCGGCTGATGGCAACTGACTTGGTGATGTCATCAATTAACACACACACACACACACACACAGAGCATGGAGCTTTAGTACATCCAGGACAGCTCCTCTGAGGACTGTCTATCCTGGGGGCGGGCCTGGCTTTAGGATGGCCCTGAGCCACCGCATGGAGCCCTGTGGTACCGGTGGAAACTCGCCGCTGGCCATCCGCCCAGGACTCTGGGCCTGGACTGAAATATTTCCCTCAAGTGCTAGGTAGAGGATTCTGAGCCAAGGTTTCTGGAATATACAATACCCGCCAGCCATTCCTAGGCTTCATCTCCTACCCTCAGCCCCCGGCTCCCCACCCTCCGCTTCCTGCCCACCTCTACCTCCAGCACTGGACCCTCACCTTCAAGGCACAGGCGGCCAAGCACCTGTCATCTTCTGCTTCACACGGCTCTGTCAGGGAGTGGGAGACCCAAGCGGGCATCTGCCTCGGGAGCATCGTGGCGGCTCTCCAGCTGGGTGGCAAGATCAGGAACTTATACTCTGACTCAGAGCCCCACCCTCCCAATGCCTCTGGGCAGTGGGATGGCCCAGGGAGTGGCCACGATGGGCAGAAGGATGGGGTGCCCGAGCCGAGGTCCCTCGGTCTTAGAAACGTAGAGGCCGGCAGAGGAGCTGGCCCTCGGGCGTCGGCAGCCTGTAACCTAGCTGCCCGGTGACCAGGTCAGATGAGGACCCACGGATGACAAGAAGAAGATGCTGGACCCTGTGACTTTAGGGTTGCCCAGCTGATGGAAGGAAGCTGCCATCTCTCCAGCTCGTGCTGGTCGTGACTAACAGATGCCCCTCTGGGAGATGGCATCCTCCCTCCCATGTCCACCTCAGCCCCCAAGGCTCCTGGACAATCTAGAGGCTGGGAGCAGGGATCCCATGAGAGGCTGGGCTCAGGATTGGGGGGTCCCTGTGTGAGGGGGAAGAAAGGAAATAATCACCCCAGCCTTGTTGAGAAGAGGCCACTTGGGGTGGGGCTGGGTGGAGGTCGGGGTGCCCAGTCCCTGCCGGTCCCCAGCCTCATGGAGGATGCACCACCAGCCCCTCCCTGGTGATCCTTATCTCTGCCTGGGGTTGGCTGGCACAGGGGTCTGACAGGCCGAACGGCTCTGCCTGTTGGGCTGCTGGACTCTAGGAGTTTCCTGCCTGAACTCTGCCTGAGGCCTCACAACCGGCTTTTCTGGCCCATAGATAGGAATGATTTTATAGAGCAGTGGGTGAGATCTAAACATGAACACGGGACAGATGGGACCGGAGTTCCCATCTGCACCTGGCCCTCTAGACTAGGGAGGGAGGAGAGGCTGCCCTCAACGCCTCCCTCTGCCCTGCCATCCACTCCACTGCCAAGGACACAAATGTAGCACCAACCCTCCTCCACAGCCTCTGCTAATCCAACATAGTTCGTGCACTTAGGAAGCACTTGCTGTGTACACGCTACTAAGATCAGAAATCTCAAGCCTGGAGTTGCTAAAAGTCCAGCTGGGGAGTCAAATGCGTTGAAGTCCTCTGAGGTCTGAGTCTCCCTACTGTGACAGTGACAGGTATCCTAGGAGGAGTAACATCACATCATTTACATTCGGGAAGTTGGTGGCATGTTGGGATCTGTCACCCAACTGAGAAGTGAGTTGGGGAGCAGAGAAAATGGAGAAGGGATCCCGAGCTGGAGAGGGAAAGAATGGCTTCCAGGAGGGCTTCATGGAGGTAGCATGGAGTCAGAAAGCAGGGGATGCTTAGGTATGCAAATTGCCTGGTGCTTGGGTAGGGAGAGGAGACAGGAGGTGGGGAAGTTGGGCCGAGAGAAGGCAAGCTTCGTGGAGGAACCAGTGTGGAGAGACAGAGTTGCTGGTCACTTTTTTTTTTTTTTTCCAGTCGGTCAGGCCTGAACTCCAGGCCTGGGCACTGTCCCTCAGCTCTTCAGCTCAAGGTGAGCCCTCTACCACTTGAGCCACACAGCACCACTTTGATTTTCTGGTGGTTAATTGAAGGTAAGAGTCTCATGGACTTTCCTGCCTGGGCTGGCTTTGAACTGTGATCCTCAGATCTCAGCTCCTGAGTAGCTAGGATTACAGGCGTGAGCCACCTGCGCCTGGCTGGTCACTTCTTTCTGTAGCATCTTAGTTGTGTAAAACAAAACAAATAAAACAAAAAAACCTCAAAACTATAGGTCTTTCCAGATGTGAACTCCAGAGAGTTCTTTCCAGAACTCTCCAAGGCCAGGCTTAAATTCTGGCTTGGTCTCTAGGTAATGGACAGCCAGGATGGTTTTCTGTTTGTTTCTGGGAGGTGTCTCTTCGCAGGCCAGACTGGCCTCACACTGGAGATTCTCCTGCCTCAGCATCCCAGGTGTTGGGATTATAGGCATGCACCACCAGACCTGGCCCATCTATCATTTCTGAGCAGGAAAGTGACATGACCAAACTTTAAGAAGAGAAGGTTGACTGGTGTGGCAATGGGGATCCACTTAGGAGGTGAGTAGGGAACCGCGTAGGATGGAGAGGGAGGATTAGGAGTGGGGGCATGGTGGCAGAATGGGAGGTCCATTCTGGAAATTTCTTCACTATGTTCTCCTTAAGTGCAGGGCCTCAACTTACTCACTCGAGTTAGCTTAGATCAGCTGACTAGGAGGCTAGGGGCGGTGGAGCAGTTTCTTCCTCCATACTCTCCTGAACCTCCGCCAAGATGCAACCTTGCAACTCTCCAGAACGGAAGGGGCAGGCCTGCCAGAAAGCATTTCCTGCTTGCTTTCTGCCTCCATGGGCACTGCCTGTGGGGGGCAGTGTGCAGGGCTGTGGGCGGAGACTACCGAAGTCCTCCTTGTGAGGGGAGAGGAGGGCTACACCCACCAGCCACGTGTCCAGTGTGAAGTCTCACTGGCACAGGGGAAACAGGGGAGGAGGTAGGCTGGGAGGTGAGAAGAGCCAGGCATGGTCCCACCGTGGCACAGCCATGCTGAGCACATTGAGGAATCCAAGCAGCCTCTCGGTCTCGAGACGAACATTTCTCTTGCAGCAGGTCAGCTGGCCTCCCTCCCCAGAGAAGCCAGGGAGAAGGGACCTTGCCTTTTCCCCCTGAGAGGCTCAGGGCCTGTCCCCACCGCCCACGGCTTCTCTCTACCTGGCTTGGCGGATCTGCACACCTGCTAGAGCGTGGTAACTCTCAGCCTCTGTCTCTCTCTCAACTAAATGTGTCAACTGTGCCACAGCCTCTAGATTCCAGCGCCTTCTGTTGTCAACAAAATATAGCCTAGACGCAGTCCTTGGGTCTGTCTGGGATTTTAATGTATGGTAAAGGAAGCGTTTTTCAATCAGTGCTGAAAGGCTGGGCTATTTGCTATTGGAAAAGCTTGCTTACCATCTGAAATAGAGTGAGATCCCAAACTTGATACTACACAAAAATAAAACTCAAGAGAGAATATCTTAACCATTAATAGAGATCGACTATCTAACCATTAAAACCACAAATGAGTTTTTAAATTGGGGTGTGGTGGTGCACATCTGGACTCTCAGTATTTGGGAGGCTAGGGTAGGAGGACCCAGAGTTCCAGACCAGCCACAGAAATAGGGACATGCTGTCTCAATGAATAATCACACACACAAGTAACAGCAATATCCCCCTTCAAGAAAAAATGATACTTTACATTGAATCAAATTTACATTACAGTGATCCTAATGTCAGATAATTACTAATTGCTTTCTTAAAATTCTAAAATAAGCTAGAATACAAATATGTATGTTTGAATATTTTTTAAAAATCCCTATATATGAGCCAGGTGCTGATGGCTCACGCCTATAATCCTAGCTACTCAGGAGGCTGAGAGCTGAGGATCATGGTTCAAAGCCAGCCCAGACAGGAAAGTCCGTGAGACTCTTATCTCCAATAAACCACTAGAAAACTGGAAGTGGCGCTGTGGCTCAAGCGGTAGAGTGTTCACCTTCAGCTGAAGAGCGCAAGGACAGCACCCAAGCCCAGAGTTCAAACCCCATGACTGAAAAAAAAAATCCCTATATGTGATTTCAAGTAAAATATTAGCAAAGAGTTTCATATAATACTGGGATGAGTAGGACCTTCTTAAATCAAGTTCAAACCTAGAAGCCAGTAAAGAAATCTTGCCTGGTTTCAAATAGAAGCTTAAAAACTCCAGGAGGCAAAAGAAGCTATAAGCGCAAGTCAACCACCAAAGCACATCTTCAATTTCCTCTCTTAGGAAATATACTTGGACAGCAAAATCCTCCTTAACAATATCAGAAGAAGGGAGGGGCCTGCTCCATGGACCCTAAGATAAACCACAAAGCCACTGGAGGGCAAACAATATGTTGTTGGCACAAGAACAGAGCCAGGAGGAGCAAAGACACGGATTAGGGGCCAACCCTTGCCACTTCAAGAACAAAGCAGATGGTAAAATTGCCTGTGCAGATTAAAGGTAAAAGAACAGCTTAACAAATGACATGGAAAACCGATCAAGTACACAGAGTAGAATGGCGTATCACTTCAGGCTACATAAAAAGCTGGGCTGCAACTGAGATTGACATATGGGAAGAACCAGAAAGTCAATGAGAGACAAAGCAGGAAACTGTAACCTTTGAACAGAAGAGAAGGATTTGTTTGCTTCTTTGTTTTGGTGTTGTCCAACAGATGTCATGGGCCAAGTATTTGTTTTTGTTTTTGGGTGCTGGTCCGGAGAGCTGTCCCTGAGCTTCTTTTCCTCAAGGCTACTGCTCTGACACTTGAGCCACAGCTCCACTTCTCACTGTGTGTGGGTGGTGGTGGCGGTGATGATGTGTGTGTGTGTGTGTGTGTGTGTGTGTATGTGTGTGTGTGTGTGCGCTAACTGGAGAGAAGAGTCTTACAGACTTTTGTACCTGGGCTGGCTTCGAACCACAATTCTTAGATCTCAGCCTTCTGAGTAGCTAGGATTACAAATGTGAGCCACCAGCACCTGGCATGATTGTTTTTTCAATAGAGTAAAATAAGACATCCTCCTAACTTTCCGCAGATGAGTTTGGAAGCATGACTCAGGTGGTAGAACAGCATCCTATAAGTAAAAATGTCAGATACCAAATTTGAGTGCCAATCTTGGACAATAAACACACACACACACACACACACACACAGAGGCTGGGAAGATGGCTCAGTGGTAGAATGTTTGCCTTGCATGCATGAGGCCCTGGGTTCAATTCCTCAGTACCACATAAGCAGAAAAAGGCAGAAGTGGCACTGTGGCTCAAGTGGTAGAGCGCTCGCCTTGAGCTGAAGAGCTGAGGGACAGCGCCCAGGCCCAGAGTTCAGGCCCCATGACCGACAAAACACACACACACATACAGACACAGACACACACACACATTGATGCATTATAAAGAGACCAACACTGGGAAATGAGAACTAAAGCAATGAATGAGATTTACTGCAGATGATATGAAGATGATATGAATGCTGGATAAAGACAGGTGA